AAACTCAAGTTCACTTACAACTCATTTGACCCAAGATAAAACATAAGTAAAAAAATCCAATAACTTTATATATTTGATCAAAATAAGGTTATTTTGATTTTTTTTAAAATTTAGGTGGTTGATCCTCTCAATTCATGACTCGATCCTTATCCCGAGTTAGATCGAGTTTTAAAATGATGATAATAACCATTTTTATTCTTACATTGCTTTAGATCAGCTCGAGATAACCATTCCAACCTATGACTTAGGCCTTGCCTCAAGCTGACCCCTTAGTTAAGTTTGAAGACTATGGTAATAATCATTTTATCCTTATGTTTACTCGAGTCAATGGTCAACTTAGCTCATGACCCGAACCTGACGTTGAATTGAACCCTGATTAGAGTTTTAAAATTATAATAATAAATATTTTTATTTTTATATTGACTCGGGTCAATGGCCAACCCGACCTATGACCAAGACATAGTCCTGAGTCGACTCGACTCCTAAGTTAGATTTTAAAACTATCATAATAATCATTTGTATTTTTACATTTGCACAAGTCAATGATCAACTTGCCTTGTATCTAGCATCAAGTTGACCCCTGAATCAAGTTTTAAAAATACAATAATAATAATTTTTATTTTTATATTGACTCGAGTCAATGGTCAACTCGACTCGCGATCTTGGTTTGGTTTTGAGTTGATCTCTGGGTTGAGTTTTAAAATTATAATAATAATTATTTTTATCCTAACATTAACTTAGATTAATTATCAACTTGATTATTGATATGGGACTTGTACTCGGTTAACTCTTAGTTGGATTTTAAAATTATGATATTAATTATTTTTATTTTTATATTAATTCGGATTAATTAAATTAATAAGAAAATTGGATAAGTTTATCATCTTTCTTTTAATGAAATTAAATTTTTTTCATTGAAACAACCTTGAACATAACAAAAATTTATTTTTATACTGTCTAAAAATGTATCAAACATCCTCACAAAACAAACTTTCATGTCTAATCCATTATTAACTAGCATTCCATATACTACCTTTTTATATACTCTACGAACTTTGCATGTTCATCGATTTCTCAATAGATTTTTTTTCCTTTCTTCTTTCTTTTAACATAGACAGGTTGAATTAAAAAGAAATTCGTTGAGATCTTCCGAATTATCTCAAACCCAACAGACAAGAGTATCAATGTGATGTATTAAGACTTTTCATGTTATATTAAGACATCTTAATTACAAAACCTCTTAATAAAATGAAAAGAGATAATAAAACTAGGAGTTCTGATACTCCTGACAGTCTTGAAAGATGGAGTGCGCCGAGGCCTAGCTGCAAACAACATCAATTAACAACTTGTCATCACCATCAAAGAACACTTGTTGGCAGGAGTGAGCCGTGTTTAAGCTTCCCGGGGTGCACAATCTTCAACAACCGTGGCATCTAAAGCATGTTGTAGTGGTCGTTGTGCACATTCAGCGTTGATCACCGTGCCATTCATGTCTGCCATAATCACACCACGGGCTCCTTCTCAAGAAACAGGATCAGAAGCCCCCGTCAAGATGTATCCTTAAGATTCCCGGTGGGAGGTTGTCATATCACTGGCAGCAATAGTGGAGGTGTACCTGTATCCTGATTTGACGAGAGCTAGAAGAAAGAGGCTGCAACTTTCAAATTCATGCCGCTGATCAAAAGCTCTTTTGAAATAATCTGACAGGAAGACCAATCAGTAGCATTAAAGACAGAGTCTTCCCGAGCTTTTCATAACCTATCAATTCATACTGCGTTTGATTTTGACATTAATTGTTGTCTTTTCTTGGTTGATTTTATACTCAATTTTAAACCAATCCTAATTTCATTTTGTTTATAAGATTGGTGTCAGAACGACAATTTACAATATCAAGATATATATTTGTTTTTGTATTTTAAAAGGTTTTTTAAAATAGTTTATTTTTTAATTTTATTATTCAAAATTAATTTTTTAGATTATTCTTTAAATAATATTATTTTTATATATTTATTAATAAAAAATACTTTAAAAAATAACCGTTATTTTAACTCTAAACACTGGTATATGTATTTTTGTAATATAATTAACCTCCCAGAGAGACAGTAAAATTAGAAATGTCCTCCAGAAAAGGCTACAATTCTAAGCTCCCTGACGAAGACAAGTTCATGTGATTTTTAGTCACCCGGTTAAGATAAATTTATATGATTTCTTTCATCTCTCGAAGAAGACAAATATACATTTTATATTTTTACAAGTTTAACACGTTACTATAATTGATAACTTTTTTAGAATAAATATAAATCAATAATATTAAATCTCACAGAGCTTTATATATATATATATATGAGAAACAATTATTTTTCAATTTCCATGCACAATACTAAAATTCATTTTAAAGTTATGAATTTTAAAGAAACATCATGCTAAATCAGTGACATCACTATCTCTATTATGAGTTAAAATTTGAATACATTGCAACTAAGAATCCACAAGTACTTTGAAAAAACTTAAAAGAAATGTGTTATTATTATAAAAAAAATAATATTTTTATAAATTTAACTAATCAAGTTTTAAATTTATTTTTTTAAAATTATTAATTCAAGTTTTATAAACTTCAGGACCATTAAAAAAATTATATAATCATTAATTTCAAGAATCATAAAATTAATTAAAGTATGTATAAATTGGTTTAAATATTTATATTAATAAATCATTAAAAAAATTATATAATTATTAATTTCAAGAATTATAAAATTAATTAAAGTATATATAAACTGGTTTAAATATTTATATTAATAAAATAAATTCATGATCTCGTTTGGAATGGATTTATTTGTAGTTGTAAGATTATAGAATCAAAACTGGGTATAGCTTTGTAGTATTTTGAATTAATTCTCAATTAAAATTATACAAAGAAAATATTGCTAAGGAAGACTTACTGAATTCTACTTTTCACGCTTCTAATATACTCCTACAACAAGAATACCGTAAGCATAGTTCCGTGAAATATCCTGATTTGATATCATGTCTTCTTATTGCCAAGTAAAATAATTAAGTTTTTTGATTAAAAAATTATCAATCAAGACCGATTGATCATTCAGACTTAATGGTAGAGGCAGGGGAGGCTAGTAAGGATCCCGGTACCTGTATAAAATTATTTTTTTCAATTTTTTTCTTCATATTTTAACTCTGTAATTTTATTTTTTTTAATTTGATCTCTTTTTTTTTTTTCCTTTGCTCTGCCCTGTTCAGAGCCATCCTTCGAAGTGAATACCATAACATTTTATTATCGTGAGCATGATCGTGGATGTGGTCATAGTTATGACTGTGAGAGTGGTCATAATTGTGGCTATAATAACTTTGAATATCATGGTGTTCATAGCAACTTGAATTTTAATGAGTCAAAAAATAATGAGGAGTGCAGTGGAAAGGAGAAAGATTCACAAAATAAACCCTAAAAAAATACGCAAAATAATTGTCATAGATGTGGAACGAAAGATCATTGTTCATATACATCTCATATGTCTAGACATCTTATTGACATTTACCAAGCATCATTGAGAAAAAAAAAGAAGGAAAAGGTGTGTGTGTGTCTATATATATATATATATATAAGATTTATTTTTCTAGAGCTTTTAGTGATTTTTATTATGATTCTACCACATAGAATACATGGGAGTTTTTTTTTATAGTTAGTAATGTCAATATTTGAAAATTTAATATTATTATTGCATTAAAACTAAGATTATTTTCACAACAATTATGCTTAAAAAAAGTTTTTAATGTCAAAATAATTATTTTATAATACAAATTGATCACTGTAAATACATCCAATTAGCAAAGCTTGTATTCAATCTTTTGTAATATTTCAATGTCTTAGTATTATGTTTGAGTATCATTAACAGTGAGCATAATATTATCAAAGGGATTTTTTATTATAATAAAATTAGTTATCATATAATATAACCGGATGTTTAGTTTTTCTCGTGTATGTGAATATTTCCCTGCATTAGAACTTTTTTATACAAGTCAGGTATCTGTGTGTTTATTATTATAAAACATAGAGTCTTATCATATGGTAAATTATAATTATAATCGAATAAAAAAATTTAAAATAAATTAAATAAAAAAACCGTGGTAATGCACGAGTAGTTGGCAAGTTAGAAATTGAGATTTAAAGCATCAAAGATCAGATAATTAACCTGAAAATTAAAAAAAAAGAAAAAAAAAAGAAAAGGAATGCAGTTAAAGCAAAGGCTAGGAGATGGAACATTCATGCCAGTCGTGGCCGCGACTAAGGAAAACGAAAAAGGGCCCGGCCCAACCCATTGACTCGCGTCAGCCGTGGCGCGTGTGATTGTTAGAAATTAAAATTTTTACAGCCCGGCCCAACCCATCTTATTTTAAAGTATTCTTTTTGTTTAAAAATATATTAAAATAATATACATTATTTTAAATTTTTAAATTTTTTTAAAATTTTCTCAATAATTTAAAATGGTTATATTTAATATTTTTTTTGACATATTTAAAAGATGAGAATCACTTTGTTAAATAATAATATCTAAAGAGTCTAAATTTTATATTTTAGAGGATCACTTCAAAAGGGGAGGATTACCTTGTTAAAAGCATAATAGGTTTTCTATTTTAGAGGAATAATTACATAAAAATTCTTATAGTTTAATCTAAATTTTACTTTCCCTTTATATTTCATTAAATCATATTTTTTATCATGTAATTTACATATTCAATAACATTTTTACATTCTTTGTTTTTTTATTTAATCATAAATATAATTTATAAAAGTACAAAATAAAAATTATATTAAGGTGAAAGTACCGAGGTTTTTTATTTTATTTTTTTGTTTGTAATTATTCCTTTTAGAAAAAGGAGGCATACATTGGGGACTGACACATGAAAGATATAATAAGTTGGGGACTAGATTGTAATTTCCCTTTACCTTTTATAGTCAGTCAAGCGAGGTGAGGTCAGGAGGAGTTTGGTTGTTTACTAGGCTGCTTCCTCTCTGTTTAAAATCTTCGCAATTATCATAACAGAGAGAAATTTCACGCGCCTGCTTTCCCTTTCTTCTCCTCTTCGTTCCTTTCCTTTTCTACTCTCTCTGTCAATTTCTAAGAAAATGTCCTCCTTTCTTCCTATTGGAGTTTTAATCACCCCCCTAAGAAAATAGGTTTGTTGTTATTGTTCTTGGAATTTTCATTGTAGTTGCGGTGGTTGTCTTGTCATGTCTTGTTGGAATTTCCCGTCTTCCTTGCTCTACCAAAAAGTCTCTCTCTTTCTCTTCTTTCTTAGATCCATTTTTGCCACTTCTTGCTCCATATATATGTAATTGCTGTGGTGTGGTGGTGTTGGATTCTTCCCATTCTTATTTGAAGAAGGGAGTATTCTGCTTTAGCTCTTGCAGTTGGAGTCACTGCTGTCAAGATCGGTTTCTTTCCACTTTCTTGATTTTCCCGGTAATTTCTTAAAATTTTCCTTTTTCATCAATTTCCCAGTTATTTATTGCTATTGTTATTATTATTATTTGCAATTAATCTCATGGTTTTTCAGTTCTTCTATTTGTTTGTCTGTGAATTACTGACTGCAATACTGATAATTGTAGAAGAAAAAAAAATTGCGGTATGTCTCCCTTAGCTGGTTGAATTCGTATGCAACCAAAATTCACATTACCTAGCTAATGGCTATTGTATTCAGTGTGCAATAATCGAGCTAAAATATTTTGAGTGGTGCTGAAACCCCCTCTTAATCTAGGCATGCTTGCTTTTGTAACTGATGAGAGAATTTGGGTTTTGCTTATTGGATTTGAAGGCGAGGTCTTTAACGAGCAACTACTTTGAAGATTTCCAATGCGTATGCCCTCTCCGTTCTCAAGTTTCCAGCTCATCGCCTCTTGGGATTTGGTCATTCTAATCGAGTTCATTCAGTTCAACAGATTTATATGAGTTTGTGAACAACTACTTAGCTAAACCTTCTCATCTTATCCTGCTGGTGGTGATTTGGTGTTTGTTAGAGGTTACTCAGTGGAAGTCAAAGCATGGAAGCTTTTGTGTTATTGTTGTGATTATTATCCTGAGATAAGAGGGTGCTTGGGTCTGGTTTCATATGCTCTTTGAATATACCTTATTTTTATTGAGAAAATTTCTGTGGGGTCTAGTATGATAGGTGGCTGTCATTGGAGTCATCTGCATACAAGCACTCAGTCATCTTTGGGTATTTCTTTCACAGGACTATTCTTCCAACAAGGCAACAATATTGGTTCCCCCCTTTACCAGCGACATTATTTCTTGAGGAAAATAATTGTGCATGGTTTTAGTTTATTGTTCAGGCCTTCATTCAAGGTAAATTTGTTCTATTTGTTTTTTATTAACATTAGCATGAGGGATTAAGGTGGATAGTTAATTTGTAGTCAATTCACTGATTCTTATGCTGTACTGCAAAGACTTGCTGATGGAGAACAAGCAGAGAGAATTGAAGGGGGAAAAAAACTAGAATCCACTGTGGGCTAAGATATTGAAATCCATAAAGGGGTGCTATCTGATTTTATAACAAACTATAAATTCTTGAAACACTTAAAAAAATTCCAATCCTCAGTTTTTGTTCCCACAATGTCTATCCAAAAAATTGGTGTGCATATTATGATAACTAACTGCCCTTGAGATCCTGCTTATCTCTCATGTCTTTGAACACTTTTCTGTTCCTTGGTATACTTTCAGATGGATAGGGATTTGCAAAGAACTTCACAGGACGTGCCCCTGTCCACTGCTCATATCCATGTTAATGGTGGTTTTGTAGCTGACCATCCTAGCCACTCAGCAGTATGTGCTCTGTGCCGAAGTATTCTTGTACCTGATAATGATGATCTTGAGATTAGTATATGTGGGCACTGTAAATTTTTGCTGCTTGAAGATCTTGAGACCCCTACTCGAGATTCTCATTGGAGGAGGCTTCACAGAGGAAGAAGAACCAGGCACAGCAGCTCTGAATCGATTGAAACCCTTTTCTCACAACAATTTTCTCAGGTGATTAATTTGGCTAGGCAAAACCACAACACCATTTATGGGAATGAGGATCGATCTATAGATGGTGATAGTTCTGCTAGGTTGTTACAGCGTACAAGCTCTCGCACAACTCCAAGTAGTTCTCGAAGATGGCAGCATCTTTTTTCAGATTCTGAAAGTGAGAGTTTTGATAATGTGGATTCTCTTTATGGGGAGAGTGAAATTAATTTCAGATCCAGTAGGTACCGGGTTTTTCACAGTGAGAGTGATGCCATTTCTTTAAGTGTGTTTGGTGAAGACTCTGATGCTTCTGTGGATGGACATGGTGTCCTGGACACAGAAATGTTTATTCAAGCAGATGAGGGAAGCAATTTTGACAGTGATACTGACATAGATCCAATGCATGCTGGTCTCCAACAATGGAACTCTGATGACCTAGAAGAGGAAGAGGATGAAGAAGATGGGGAATGGGAAGAGGCTGATATCGAGGAAGACACAATTGGATCTGTAGAAGCTGGAGCTCGACTTCGAAATATGTTTATTTCAAGTCCTAGTGAAGGTAATGGCCCTGTTAGTTGGCGCAGGCAGTTTCGTTCACTGGAATTTGAGGGCATGAACCGCCGGAGAACCAGGCAAAGTAGACAAGCATATAACCATGGCTTCTTAGCTAACTTGGAAGAATCAGAATTACCACAACACATGTGGAATTCTGAGTTTGGAGATTATGCCACAGGCTTTGGGGATTTGCTTGAAGCTCTTGCTCGTTCTGATATTGGAAGGAGAGGAGCACCTCCTGCAGCTGTGTCTTTTGTGAATAATCTACCACTTGTGATCATCAATGAGGACCATGAGAAGCATGATGGTTTAGCTTGTGCTATCTGCAAGGATCTTTTGTCAGTTGGCACTGAAGTTAACAAGCTTCCCTGCCTTCACCTATACCACCCTCACTGTATATTGCCTTGGCTGAGTGCACGAAATTCATGTCCTCTCTGCAGGTATGAGTTTCCAACCGATGATAAAGACTATGAGGAGGGTCGGCAAAACTCTAGTACCAGAATGGAGATGCATGGTATTCAGCGGCAGGAAGTTAGCGGGGACAGTTCGTCGGATGTCTCAGATGAACCTCTTGAAGGTGTTCAAAGAGGGAGAGGATTCCTGAATGTGGGCCCGCCCTTAAATAGCTCTGGCAGAGAGGGCAGTGGAAGGAGATGGCTTTTGCTTGCTGCTGCCCCCCTTGTTAGCCTTTTGGGTATTGTCTTTGTGATGTGGTGGGGCAATCCTCAAGGAAGACGGGCAAATGGTCATTGCAATTTCTCTGGGAGAGGCCTGCATCAAATTCAAGCTTCTGGCTCTTCCCAACTCAACCAAAGGGGCAATGGGAGGAGAAGATGGTGGTCTTTTTTCTGATGATTTTCTGTGCCTGAACGTGTTTAGCGCGTAAGATATTTATTGTTTTTTCTTTTCCCACTTATCTTGAATGGATCTAATGTTTGGTCGGAAAGCATGATCATGCCTTGCCTCTAATATGGATGACTGGGGAGTGGAACTGGTCAGGTTTCTGAAAGTCCGATGAAGATTTGATATTTTTAGTTGCTGATTGGGCAACATTTTATGCCATTCGATACGCTAATGACTCGAACTTATAACTCGAAAAATAAACAAACAAATAAATAAAAAAGAGGCCCTCGCACGGTCATGCTTGATTGTTATTGAATCTCCTGTCCCCGTGTTCCTTTCGTTTAGGGTTGTAGACTCGTGCTACGGAGGAAACATGTTCCTCTCCTTTATAGTTTATACTTTATACGCTGAGTGTTATATATATATGTTCAGCTGTAGCAAACATGTTTCAAAGAGAAAACAAGTATTCAACTTAGGTCATATATTTTAATGAATCAAATAAGTTGATTTTATTTAATTAAATAAAAAAAGACAATGATAATATATAGATGAAATAAAAAGTGATTACAGTAACTTGCAAAAAAAAAACAATGTAATTGAATTCTCAAAAAAAAAAAAATATGGAAGGATAATTAAATAAAAAAAATAAAACAATTAGGCCACATCAACTATAATTAACATAACCTGATTATTAACAAACCAATTGTAAAAATATAAAACTTAATAAAAGCCAAAACAATAAAAATGATAAAGATTAATTTAAAAAAGAATTAAAATTTTAAAGGCTGAAATTATAAAAAGATTATAATTTCTTTTTAAAAAAGTGAATCCCAAAAAAATCAAGTCAACTTGTGTTAATTTGTTAAATTCATGGTTTAAGTCATGAGATTATGATAACCAAATAGAGAATAAAATAAAAAATATCACAAATTTTTTTTTGAAAAAAGAAAAGTCGATTGATGAAATAAAAAAATAAAATAAATTTAAAAAAACAATGTTAACCCGCTTTAACTTCTCAAAGTCATGATCTAGATTATTAGATCAGAAGTAGCTTATTTGAAAAAATACAAAGTGCAATTCTCAACAAATCAAATATAGAATAATAAAATTAAAAGAAATTCAATTGCACAAAAAAATCTAAAAAAATAGCAATTAAAAGAATGAGAATTAATATTAAAATAAAAAAAAAATTAAATTAGAGGACAAATAAAATTTTTTTATTGAAAGGTGAGATTAAAAAGAAAAATTAGTTTAACAAAATACAAAAATAATTAAAAAAAGGGACCAATTGAAAAAAAAATATCACAAATTAGGATTGGTTGATAAAATTGAAAATAGATCAAAATTTTACAAAAAAAATCAAGAACAAAACTTAGAAATTAAATGAACAAGAATCGAGGTTCAAATCTCAATAAATAAAATAATAACTTTGAAATTTTAAATAATCAATGTGATTTAAAAAAAATAAAAGAAAAAAAATAAAGAAAATAAAAAAAATAATGTGGATGACAAACTACCCTACCATTAATATCATGTGCTATATCTCAACAAGAAAAAGATATGATAATTCCAATAACACAAGAAATTTTTGTCAATTGAAAGTCATTGCACATGTATGTCAAAAAACCACAACTTTCTCACACTAATCACTTTTAGTTTTTTTTTTTTATATATTTTATATTTATTAAAATATTAAATTACTTCTCAGTCAACTTAATTATAATTAAAGAACAAGATTGTAAATATAAAAAAGTCCTTGTAAACTAGTTTAATCTTTTTTTGCTTTTATAAATGATTTACTCATTTTATTATGTTTTAGAAATGTAAAAAAAGCTAATTATTTTAAATCAATCTAAATCTAATAATGATTAATGAACTTTTTAGAAGACTAAACTACCTCCGATATCCAGTGTAGGGATTTTGTGCAGGAAGAACAAAATTGTTAATACACTTAGGAGTGTTAAAAAAGATATATTTATCTTTAATATGTACATTATTTAACCCAACTTAACCTATGAAAATTGAATAATGTAGATTTAATAGATGATAGGACATGTCAAGAAATCTAATAAATAAATATTTTGAGATTGCGGGTTGAGAATTTAAAAATTCGTTCAACTCGACGCCACTTATATAACCCAACATGAGTACCTCGAATTCTTGGTGTAAACAATATTTTCCCTTATCTCTCCATTTTTTCCCTCTCTCATCTTAATACTCATAGTTGCTTCTTATTCTCTTAATCTCTTTCTCTTCTCAGCATTCCCCACTTTTACAAAAATTATATTTGTTTGTTTAAAGATTGATATGATAAGGTGATAGTGTATTTTTCAATTCCATTTCTTTTTTGTTTGGTACCCAAGAGAACGAGAAAAACAAATAAAAATTTTAACAGTCCAGATTGAACTTGTATTTTAAGGGTCTCATCTAATTTTAGTAGTTGCAACCCAATATGTATTTTAGGATTGTCGAAGGATAAAAGAATTAAGATGCTCTTTTCATGAATACATGTAATATCCACGAAAATTTTATCCTAACCCAATATATCCAACTCGCCCGGGTCTAAAAAAATTGAATGGATATGGCAACTGATGGATAAAAAAAGGAATAAGCTTAATATATATATATATATATATTCCAGAGCACCTTCCTGCAGCACTTATAAACAAAGGCTATGCATACATTAACTGCTCCAATGGAGCTTGTAGCTCAACAGGCACCAATGCTCCCTCCCTCGAGCCACTACTCTGTAACCAAAACAAGAAGAATTATTTCGAGTTTTTGCTAATCTACTTGGCTATTGACAGTGGTTGAAAGTAAAATAAACTGCACTGAAGATAGGTTCGTGTCAACAATGGGTTAGGCTTCGTTTGTTAACGCGGCCAACCGTTAACAAACACATACTTAACGCAGCGATTTCAGAACAGCATGTTGAGATAAAGGACAATCCATCCAGCCATTGAGAAAATAGCAAAAATATGAACCCAGAATAGAACAGCAGCAGCTTCTCTTCCACAGCCTCTTAGATTCGCCACGGCACCTAGAGAGAGGGGACTGATTAAGTAAAGAGATGCTAACCTTCCATGTCAACCCAATACTAATAACATTGATTTCTAATCCCTGCTTTCAAATGAATTATTTGTCTGTCTGACATTTGAGGGGAAGAATCTTCCATATTTTACCTTTGCCCCACTTCCCAACCAAGTTAAATATAGCCTTCATATACCAGCACAGAAAAATATTAGTTGTTTCTTCTTCTTTTTCTCTTGCATATCACGAACAGTTTCAATGAAGGCAATGTGAAATACTGTTCCGAACAACAAGATTGATTATGAAATGCTAATTTTCTGATTACTTGAAAGTTCGCGTTTTGATTGAAAATGCATAGGTGAGCCTTACCAGAAAGGACAGATGTAGGCATTGTATGTTGCAGAAGCAGGACAAACTTGAACATCTTATCACCAGGAGGGAGGAAGCCAAGCTTATCAGCCAATGTAACTATGCCAAGTCCAGCAGGAGGCACCAAAACTAACCGACCAAAAATAATAGCGGCAGTTGTCCGAAAACCAAGTTTAGAACTTCCCGGTCCTGCAGTGAAACAAAGAGCTTTCACTTGAAATCCACAAAGTGTTTAAGCTGATAATCTAATTTTTCAACAAAACTAAGAGGCCATTACTTCGAATACAGATAATGAGATGGCACAATAAAGTAACAAAAAATTATTAGGGAATTAACTCGCCATCAATGAGATTGCCTCCTAGTGCCAACAAAATGCATGGAATCATGGCTTCCCTGAGAACCAGAAGCAGTATAAGGAATCAGCAAAACCAATTAGAAGCATCTTCATCACGCAATGCAGAAGTAACTTGGAAAGAATAAATCACTTCTCATGTCTCAGCACTATAAATAAATCCACCTTGACTGCACGAGGAGAAACCAAACACCATACATGCATGTCAAGCTTCGTTTTCAAAATATTCAGAAGCAAGTTTGTACAAGATGTTTCTATTTCTATCAAATTAGCAGGGATTGTAAGGTAACTCTGCCCTGTTTGTGAGTTCGCATGTATTGAATATTACACATGCTGTTCAGAATGCATCAGCATGACTAATTACACAAGCCTTTCAGTTCCAAGAAGATGCAATTTGATGATCATGCCAGTTAGGATATAGCAAAAAATTGGTCCCGTTTATCTCAAAAGTTGAGTATCAATACTACTTTCATTTTCTAGTTCTTGAATCAACTCAAGTGATTTGGCATGCATGAAAAATCAGACGTGGGCCTGTTCAGAGCATAGGCAAATGTTTTGAAATCCAGTTTAAGGAAATCTCCAAGAGCTTTCAAAATCTCACTATTTACATGCTATACAAGTTTCTACTTCATTAAAATAATATTGATTCATTAATTCACATAATAAAAAGAATTGTTCTTCTTTCCCTTGTTCTCCCGTTCTAAAGAACCTTGTCAGTGATGAATCTGGACCTCATAGGTAGCCAGCTTGACATGTTCCAATATACTCACGAATCAGGAAAATGAGCAATCACAAATAATAAGAAACGCTTGGTGTAAGAGGCAGGCATACCCGAGAATCATACAGCTGTCAGTGAAAAAGAAAAGTGGAGCATCAGTTGTAAAGATCAATCGCTTCAAGAATGGTACTGCGCCAAGGAACATGGCTAGGATCTGCAGAAAACAAGAGCATATCAATTAAAAGGAAAGTTGAAAGAGGAAGGACAATAAAAATTGTCTTCTCTCTGTTGTTTCCTTTCCTTTTCTTTATTTTATTTTTTTTAATATAATGCACTCTGCTGGTTTTAAGGGGTAAATCCAAGGCTTTTTGATAAGAACCAAGTAACTTTACTAAGCCAGCTGACATCTACAGAGAAAATTGAGTTAAAATGTGCGAGCTTAGAACTTTGCCAGTGAACAGAAAGGATGGTGAATTATAAAGGTGATAGTACTCTGCAGCGTTTGGCCTGTCCAACAAGTGGAAGAATAAAGGTATGTTCGGGCTTAGTTCCTTTTCATCCATATAAGATGCTTCAACAAAAAATTCTATGAAACCAAGTGGTGGCACAGTTTTCACTAGCATTCTTACAGTCAAGAACAGATTTTGCAATTCTAATAAGTATCCGGAATCTCATGTCAGAACATCACCTAAGAGTTCACCATAAATATACCAAAACAAAAGGTTAAAGACGAAAGTGAACTTACAGAAGCAATTATAGGGGGCTGAAGAATTTGCTTCAGCTTTAACTTGACATAGAAAGAGGCCAGAAATTGTTTGATCTGCAAAACGCAAGAGATAATGAA